CATAATGCCCCACATCATGATTTAATTAACGGAAATGTCAGCAGTTCACGTTTTTGGCCGAAAGGAAAAGGGAATCTTATAGATTCAATAGAAGGTAAGCACTATTGATGGAATCTGTGAGAATACTGCAGAAATGCATTTCGACTGGTCTCTCCTTTCCTATAAAACTGCTCATTTAGAAACTGGTTACGATGCATATTGTCAACGAAAGGTTGTCATTGCAGAGAGAAATGTTCAAATCTAAACGTTTCATTATTGTGAAAAGACCTAAAAATTTAGGTGCACCTTCCCAGTACCGGGTTGGACCCCCTTTTGCCTTCACAACAGCTTCCTGGCATAGATTCAACAAGGTACTGGAAACATTCCTCAGAGTTTGTTCCAAATTGGCACGATACCATCACGCAGTTGCTGTATATTTGTCGTTTGCACATCCCAAAGGTGCTCCATTGTATTGAGACCTGGTGACTGTGGAGGCTATTTGAGTACAGTGATCTCATTGTTAGGTTCAGGAAACCAGATGATTCATGCTTTATGGCATGGCACATTATCCTGCAGGAAGTAGCCATCAGAAAATGGGTACACTGTGATCATATGGTCAACACTCAGGTATACGCAATGCTTAATTGGTACTCATAGGTCCAAAGTGTGCCAAGAAAAAAGTCCCCACACTCATAGATTTGTGCTCATAGATCTGCCACTAACTGGAGATTTTCTCTTTTTCTGATCATTCTTTGTAAACCCTAGAGATGGTTGTGTGTGAAAATCAACCAACCTGCCTGGCACCTAAGTCACTTAAATCACATTTCTTCTACATTCTGATGCTCGGTTTGAACTCCAGACGGACATCTTGACCATGTGTACGTGCCTAAATCCATTGCATTCTGTCATGTCATTGGCTGATTAGAAACTTTAACAAGCAGTTGTACCTAATAAAGTGGCCGGTGCGTGTAAGTAAGTCTTAATTTGCTTGACACATTTTGTTGGTGTTTACTTTAATTAAACTAATTTTGTTTTATTGATTTATTTTGATGTGTTTGTGCATAGTGGTGTAATGCTATAAATGTCAAATACTCACAATATTGTATTTCCGCAAATGAGGTGAGAAAAGGAGGCAGAAAATCATCTGAAAATTCATAATGTGATCCTTGGCAAAAATCCATTGCTCTTTTTACAATATAATAATTCAAATAAAACAAAGAAAATAATGAGTTCCAAACATCAAAAGCCATAATAATTAAACGAAAAAACTTGTTGCCCCCAGAATGTGGTGCAATAATATTCCAGAGAAACATTAAACATGATATTTAAATCATATAACGCTAATGCAAAATAAAAATATTTGCACTATTATATTATAGAATTGCTCAAATGAAACTTCTAAATATTCCTCAGCATGACTTGCAATGTTCATTATTTATTTATTAAATTTTTTTACTCAAGGGAAATATGCAATATATATTTAATGTAGTCCGTAGACTAAACAAAGCCGGCATCAGGCCTTACAATTATGTAATAAAACAAATATACAGATATCTGTATCAGAAAACTGGAAGGAGAATGTGTTTTCTTAAAGGCTTTCTCGGACAGTTGGACACCGTTAAAAACAGCAGAAAACGTATTGTGTTATTTTAGCCTCACTGGAAGCCAAGAAACATTTTATTGCAAAAACATATTGTACTGAACTTTGTCGCACCCTCTAAGCTAATTTAACCAATTATTGAACATTGACTTGCTTTGTTTTCAGAAGGCTAACATCCCTTAAAAGGAACGAAACAGCGTGTTAGTAAGCCTCTCTGGAAGCCAAGTAGAACCTGGATCCAACTGAACACACAATGTTTCCAGAGACAACGGCAGGGGTAGAGATGGACAGTAGATTATTCTTGTTGTGGATTGTTCCATAGGTGCAAATGTAGTGATGGATAAAACCCAGAAGGGACACACCAAGGAGAACAGAAGATCCAAGAAGGCAAGGGGTGATCCAGGAGAGTCAGGGTGCATGAATCGTAGGTCTGACAACTGAGGAGGCGCATGGCTGAGTCTTTAAACTCTGAGAGAAGGACTGGAAGTGTGCTCATGGTTGGTTGATCAGGGTGAAACTGGTTGTTGGCTGAGTCTCTGCTGGGCACACAGTATCCCTGACAAAACCTTTAGGAAAAAACGTTATTTTAAACAAAACATACTTTGGTACTGATTACATAGAAGTATATGAGTGTTCGGTTCCCCAAAAAAATGTGTAATACAGAGAACTGTTGTAGTTTACAGAGTATACTTTGACACTTCATCAATATAGATAGTATTATTGATTTAATAATGGGGAATACATAGTGTACCTTTAAAATAAAAAGTGTCAATCTTGTAAAAAAGATGGTTTATTCTAATATGGTATTTCAAATAGTGATGATTTTTAATGGTTGTAATTTTACACCTTTTTTTAAGATTTACACAGTTTTTTTGCAGGGGGGGGGAACTATATAATTGTTTAAAGATAAACTAGTTTGCAACTTCACTGTAAATTCTATACTGTTTCTCATTTGCACTAAACTGGATGTTGACATTTTTCCAACATGGGGGGGGGGGGTTAGTTTACAAAAAAATGGAAATGATCTCTTTGATGTTTTCCTCATAGGTATTTTCATAGGTTTCAAGTATAAGCTTTAATTCAATGAACATGAGGTTAAGGGCCAATAGACCTTGTAAACCAGGTGTATTGTTTACTGATGTCTGTATAACCACTACACATTTAAAACACTATAGTCCAATGCCTTACTCTTTATTTACATACAATTGTAAGTATTTGTATTCTCGTCTCATAAAGGGCTTATTTCATGTTTTATTTGTTAAAACCCCAACATCTGTCCGTGTGTAAGTGTTGAATGATCTTCCGCAGAACGAGGTAATTGCTGTGTGTGTATGTGTGTGTTTTTTGTGTGTGTGCGTGAGTGTGTGGTTTGAGGGGTTTTTGTTGGTGTGTGTGTTGAGGCGTTGGATCATGGTGGATTAGCAGTAATCTTGGCCAGTGACACTCCCCAGTGGTCGGATCAGTGAGCACGCTGCTCCCTGTCTTTCTTCTCAACACATTTTGCTCTGAAGGAAGCCAAGCAACCTTTCTGCTGCCGATCCAAGCTTGAAACTCATTGAGCTTTAGGTGATTGCCTCACATTTGCCTGCTTGCTCTATCTCTTGCTCTCTCCCTCGCGCGCACACAGGGATTGCTCATGACAGTTGGCATCTTAAACTGTCAAGTGATCATTACTAGCTCACTTTGGGGACATAGACAATCAAATACAAAGCTCTTGGAGTAAGCACACGGTGAGCAAGCGCTAATCTCTTTGTGTTCTGTTTCTGTTTAGTAAACAAAGCATCTTAATGTGGAGATTTCTCACCACAAATGGCTTATTTTTACTAAGGACCCTTCAGAGGAACAAGAGCTCAACTGGACTTTATCTCAAGGCCAAAATCTTTCAGGAAAACTCGCCGTTTCATAGCCGCGCTTCGCATTTGCTGCCATTAAAGAGTGCATGAAATGGATTCCGAAACACAATTTTCTTTTTATTTTGAGATATTTCCCATTAAAAAGTGGTGGAGCAAATTGACAGGCTTCTTTCCATATAGATGGCTGCTTTTAAGATGTACTTCACATGGTTAGTAAAAGTATGATTTACCACTTGTTTAAGCTAGCCTGTGGCAGGCACTGTTGGAGAAAAAAGACATCTGTCAAGAGAGCATTATATATTGCCAGCAGTATTCACTCACAAATTCAATTGATTGAATTCAGGTGTTCCAAACATTTCCTTAGCCACCGGTGTATCAAATAAATTACCTAAGACTCTCAGGTGCTGATTCAATATAATAATAAAAATAATAATAATATATTTATTTGTTAATTAAATCATGTCACCATGAGTACCATAAATCAATGTCAGGGTTTCTATTAGATGAGATAGAGATATACCATATTGGTTGCTATGGTAAACAGTCTGGTTGCTATGCAGGGGTCAGTGACATAATATAATGTTTCTTATGTCAATATGAGTAAAAGAAGGTGGTTTGGCCTCTTAGTTCTAGTGGAAATAACTGAATGCTTTCCAAAAATGTTTTGACAATTCCATGCTCCCAACATTATGGGAACAAAATAGGTGTGGGCTATTCCTGTACCAACATGACCACACCAGGCTTAACCTATGAAAACACCTTTGGTTTATTGAAACAATGACTGTAAGACAGGCATTCTGGGAGAAATCATTTTTCTGGAAGAACGGTCCATAATTTCATTAAATACAGTCCTAAACATTCCGAAAATCCTTCCCAGAAGAGGTGGACCAACCATATTAAACCCTATGTGTATTGTTGATTTGAACTCTAAAAGCAGATGAGTGAATATGTTTAGTAATATTGTATATCACACAAATACTCAGGCAAACATCATTTGTTCATCTAATATTTTCTGACTAAAATTCTCTTGATGTTAAATAAGCAAACACTTAAGAGTCTATGATTGGATCTTTATTGCAGTGATTAATTAACTGAATCAACACGGAACTGACTGAAACTGCTTAATGGTTTATTGAACTTGTTCTACTCTGATTAATCTTCAACTCTTACCTGTGTTTGTTTTCGTGATTTGCCTCTTTATCTCTGTTACACAGCTTTTGAGAGGAGCTTGAGTGTATGACTTGCCTAGATTAATGTTTTGGCTCGTTAAAGGATGGAGACAATTGTTTTTAGATCAGCGTTGCTATTTTTGTCTTCAAAAAATTGTCTAAAGATGAATTCTAGTGTAATTTCTGGGGGACAGTTTAAAGAGCCAGCATGATAGACACCTCGCAGCAAGTGATCCCTAATGTTGTACAGGATCACTCACTGTGCACAGAATTGCTTTATTTGATCTCTTTTCACATAAATATTACAGATTCTCTCGCTACATGATGAATGCATGCAGAAGGTTTAACAATGCATCTTTGAGTTTGTAGGAAAAGATCTATGTGCGCTTTGTAATTCAAGCATTCCTATGGCTCAGTCAGAAAAACATTGAGCTAGCAACACAAATATCATGGGTTCGATCTCCAGGGAAAGCAAGAACTGATCAGATTCAAGTTCATAAAGGAGATCTTTTGCCTCATGAGGGCCCTTTTTCTCTGTACAGTTTCAGGTCCAAGTCTGGGCAAGATCATTTATTTGGATCCGGCTCGAAGGACCAAATCAAGGCTGGTGTAGATATCTCTCTACTAAGCACGATTCCATTTTTTTATATTTTTATTTTATATGGGTTTAAATGGGTTTAGTTGAACTCGTACTATATCCAAACTTAACATTGACAGAGTTTATGTTAAGATTACATTTCTCTGTTCTCTTAACCCAAATAATGAGAATGAGAATTTTGATCTAATGCACTTGCCAAAACTAATGCTAAATTGCAAACTCTGAGAAAGTGTTAACCTAGAATTCAGAACACTTCTTTCAAAAATAATACTAGATAAGTATTATACATCATACATGTAGATCATATACATGTGTTTGTCATGGACACATGTATATGAATTTTTAATCACTCTATGCTGAGATCACATAAACAGACAACCGATAAGCATTTGGTAGATTCCCCTATATGTTTGTAAAAAAAGACATCTAGATTCTTAAAATACATTTTTTAAATTTGAAAAAATGAATTCACACATAAAAAAAGTTGTTTTTAGCTGTCTGTGTTTGTTTTTGACAGTATGCATTAATTGAGATGTTTCTCATATTTAATGTGTTTCATTTCACATAAATAATCTTCTACAATGATTTTTTTTGTGCTTGTACCATACTTTTTTGTTGCTCTAAACCACAGATTTTAAGGATGGCCATAACTTTTCAATAATTTAGCTTGTTCCTCTGCTGGCCATGAAACTACAGACTCTACAGATTCTAGCTCGTCTAATTTTTTACATTTTTGCAGAGAGACGTTTTCTGTTTGACATGTATATGTTCTCCTCTGAAAATTTTAATTTAAATAAGTAATAATTCACATGGCAGTTACCAACATACAGCAGTATGCATACATTTATTGAACAGCTGATGTGGTACAGAATAAAAAAAAGTATATTGTTACACCGCTAAAAAGTACATTATTGTATAAAGCCCTTGACCTTACATAATCAAATCATTTTTATTCAGCTTTTACTGACTCACAGGACCTTTCTACATTTTGAATAATTCCTCTGTTTGTATTAAAATAACTAGTTTGGGAGATTACAGATCATCTCTAGCCATCAATTTCTTTAATCCAAAATTATTTTTGTACAATTGCATTTTGATTCTGCAGCCAACAAGATCATTGTTTGTGTGACGTAAAGAAAAGAATTTAGAGAATGTTATGCAAATGAAGGCTCTCTAGTTTATAATTCTTTACATACTATTTTTGCATTTTCGTTTACACTGCCATCCAATAAAACTGATTTGTGTCACATATGCAAGAAAATTATATTTGGGCCACATTGAGCTGTAGAATGAAGGCAGAGCTGTCATGCGGAGCCTGTGAGAGATGAAAGTGCACTGCTACACAGACCTGAGATAGGATTGTGTGTCTGCATGCAGGGATTCGGATGTAATTTGCATGAAATGCATCCAAAATCTTAATGATTTGCAAGCTGGTTATTTCATCTTACACAATGGGAAGGAAGAAGAGCGCAGAGAGAGAGAGAGAGAGAGAGAGAGAGTGTTCAATCAAGTTCTCGTTCGTTTTCTCAAGCTCCTGTTTTTCTCAGACTATTTTAGTGCAGTAGGTTGCGCAGGATTGAGAACATGTGAATGTTTTATGGGCTTACATAAGGGACCTCACCCCAGAGACAACCGACCTCGTTATCGTTCATTTAGCAGTGAAAAACAAGATAGATAGATGGGGTGGGGGTAGATGAGAGGATGAAAGGAGAATGGGGAATGCAGAGGGAGAGGGGAGAGAAAAGCATGTACATGCAGAGGAACCGAGCATGATGGGATACATTTGCAAAGTGAACGCAGGAACGAAGGAGGCTTCAGGTGTGCCAGCGATACGAGAGAAAATGGAGACAATAAAGCAGTTGATTCCAGTTTGATTCCATTTCATCCCTTTTATCTGTTACCCAGAGAGCCTCGGGGAAGCTTGACTTGTTAGCATCACTTGTGGGAAGAAATTGAGGCTTCTTTGCAGGAAATGCATCTCCTCTTCTTCTTCTATCTCACGTCCCCTTTTTGGAAACATAAGAAGGTCAAAGTTTGCCATAGCAGAGCACGGGAGCTGTTTAAAGCACACCTGATATTAGAGTGGAAGCTTGTCTGAACGCATCTCAGCTCTCATGCATCTGGAAACCGTTGCATAATGTGCGTTCAACCAAAGCGAGCAGGAGGTTTGCATGTGCGTTTGTGAGAGAGCCACATGCCCATGGTGCATGCGTGTACCTCGTCGTTTATTGGGTCAATGCGTTCAGGTTTAACGTGCTTTTGTAATGGCCTCATCTCTCTCTCACTGCATTATTAGCGGGATGTGTCCAACCTCTTCAGATGAAACCCTCGTGCTGGGACCTCAAGGCCATGAAAAACCTGCTATAATAGGATGTTAATAGCTGGAAAACACCCTTTTCGACATGAAATGGAATTGCGCCTGTTTACTGTACATTGTAATGGAAGTTCATGGTCTCGTTGAGAGCAATTCATCAGTGCACATTATTTCAGAGTGAAAAAGTTTTTACGTCACCTACACAGCTTGAGCTAATTGGTGTTGTCAACATGACTGCAACAACCACTGAGGTCCGCACCTCGTTATTTTTCCCAGGTGTAAAATAAAAGCACCAATTGCCTAATAACAACGGCTGCAAAGATAACCTTTCGCCAATCTCACCAAACTGCTAATTTCAGCCTTTCAAATCAAAGGTGAGAGCTATTTCTTCTCTTTAGAGGCCATAAGAGCATTCAATGTAATAATGCTTGAAGAGAAAGATGGAAGACATCAAACCTGCAAATATTTGTGTTGATTATTATATCAATTAAATCATATTAGTCTTGAATGTGTGATTGTGAATGAATATTCTCATTTTTAACACTCATTCGCATGATTTCCATTGACTTTAAATGATTCGGTAATTAGCAGTTTCCTGTAGCTTGTGATTCTTGGGGTTTTTCCACTAATTAACACTTCCAAGCTGCACCAAGGGGCCTCAACCTCTGTTCTAAAAACCTTTGACACGTTTGAAACCTTTCACATTTTCTTCACATTTCAAATCTTACACTATCTAAGAACAAAGTGTTTCTTCTAATGCAATAATCTTGTAATGAGCTGTATTGCTTTTTCTAGTTTAATATTGTATGTGGTTTATACTTTTATACTAATAAGAATTATATTTTTCTGCATCAACGTAAAATCTTTAAAATATGAAAGGAACTGTTATTCAACTGTTAACAGCCAAAGTATTCAAACATCCATCCAAAAAAAATGAATGATCTTTCCATTGCCACAGATAAATAAAATAATGCATCTAGGCATGCAGAATGCTTACGTGCAAAGCTTGCAGCTACTGGACTTCAGCAGTGGAGATGCACTCTCTGGAGTGACAAATCACAATTCTCCATCTGGCAATCGGAGTCTGGATTCAGCAGTTATGCTAAGAGGATGGTCTGACTGCCTTGTACCAACTGTGAAGGTGGGGGACTATGGTATATAACTAGGATAAGTCATTTATACAGTGGTATGCATCAGTTTGGGCACCTCAAGAAACAAACACAGTGCTAGTTGAGAATGTGATATGGTTTAAAGAAATTTTGCAAAAATTATGTAAAGAAAATTAAGCATATGAATATATTTAGGCACCACAAAAGGAAAATTAACTCAATATTTTATGCATCCTCCTTTTACTGAAATAACAGCCTGCTTTCTGTAGCTTCCAATTAGAGTCTCATTTGTGGAATTTTGAACCATTCTTCTTTACAAAACATCTCCCATTCAGTCGGGTTTTATTCTGCTTTAAATCACACAAAATTTTTTTTTTAAATTCCACTCTGTGACTTATGTGATCTCAACAATCACATGTTATCACCTTAAAAAGGTAATGAACTGAATTTCTGACTTTTTATTTTGTGTTGTCCATGATGGTGTAATTAGATAAAATCCAAACATTTCAATTTTACATTAAAAATTGTTTTGGTGAAGAAAACTCCTGTCTGGGTTTGCTAAATGGTTCTCTTGAGCTCTGCTCACTGATTGGCCGAGATTTGCATATCCATGTGAGAGGGTGGAAGGTTACAAAAAGTTGTTCAATCCAAGCATTTAACATTGATGTTTGCTTTCTGAACTGCAGTAGTTTGTTTAAACTATAGCATTGATAAATACACAGATAACCTCAATAACATTCTCGGATCTATCTCTGGAGGACAGATTGTTTATGTTATTGTCTTGAATAATAAATCTGACTACAATAAAAGATATCTTTCCTTAAAAAAACAAAACCTTTTGATTTCTGAAAATGTAAAACTGTATTTGTTGTTTTATCACTTCTTAAATACAAACAGATCAAGTGTTTTTTGGTTCTCTTCAATCAGGCTCAACAAAGAGGGATTCATTTAGATATATAAAGTTTAGACGGCAATATAAATGTATATATATATATATATATATATATATATATATATACTATATATCTATATATATATATACTTATACATATCTATATATATATATATATATATATATATATATATATATATATATATATATACATAAATTTATGTTGCACATATACATATATTTGAATTAACTATGTATTTTTTACCTAAAATTAAGCATTAATTTGGAACTATGCGTTGAAAATTATCAAATGATTCAAATCATAAAACCAGTCTTTGAGTAAACTTTTCCATTTACACAGATGTATTAAATGATAAATAATTACTTCTCTTCTTCTTAGCCGAAATCCGTAATGAAATAATAGCTAGTCGAAATGGTTTTATTGCAAAAAAATCAAGAAATCAGTTCAAATTTACAGCATACATTTACACCGTTTAATGACCTAATAATAAGCATAAAAATGTATTTTATTATACAAAGTTTGCAGTAGTTTAGAATGTC